CACAATATCACCGCTTGGAGAAGATGGATATCCAGGGCGGGTGCGGGGGAAGGGGGAAGGGCGAGAAAGACGAGTGGAGGGGGTGAGGCAAGGACAGGGAAATAATGATGGAGTATCTCAAGGTTTGATGCAAAAACACATGATCGCACCGGCTCGCCTGGTGCGTTCCAGCCTGGGTTGCATTTGCATACATGCAGCTTAGTCGACAGCGCACTGGTTACCTGGTGCGATGATATATTTTTTGCACAGTTTCCCCCGCAGGTTTTTTCTGCTAATGTCACTGTCTTTTCCGGCAGATGCTCTTAGCTTAGAGAATTGAGAGTAGCCACCACGACTGTTAGAAATTATTTCAATAACTCCCAATCAACGCCCAAAAAATTCAACACCCTAGATGCTTCGGTGTCAAATTTCACGCGTTCGTACGTGAGTGGCAACATGAATGTTGTCTTCGGATGTGTTTTCTCAGGCACGGTTCTGAACGACGCTCAGAAATTTTCAGCACTCCGGCTGCTCAGGTTGCGGAGTTACATCAAATTTCGCGTGTTCGTACATGAGATATGAAAGGAACGTAAAAGTCGTTTTTACGTCCATCTGGTTAAGCGCCACCATCGGTTATGCTCAAAAAGTTCCATTCCTCTAGCTGCTTCAACTCTGATGTTACTAAAGTGCTTCCGTGCAATCTTCACGTGACTGTACGTGAGATGCAGAGGATTTGGAATGCTCACTTTCTCGGGCACAACAGTGGGTGAAAAGTAATGCTGCGAAGTTGCAGATCCCTAAAACTTCTTGTTCAGCTTAAATCGGGAGCTGGCACGATGCCAGTTTAAACTTTGATGTATGCATACGTCAGACCAAGGGGTGCGTGATGGCTGAATTTGAAATCTTTGGATTAGACACGGCTAGAGAGCATCTCAGCGAAGTTTCAGCTTTCTAGCTTGCGCCGTTCCCGAAAACGTTTTCCCACCAAAAAAACTTTCACGTGCCCATACGTGAGAACCAAGTAGACCTGAGCGTCCATCTGAGAAGAGGAGCCCGCACGTATGTATTGATCAAGTTACCAAAGTTTCAGTCTTGTAGATTTTGTGGATCTCGAGATGAAAACTCGTTACGGACTCACACGTAGACACTCACAATAAACACAGATACACACATAGACAATCCCTTGACAATATTTCTTATTTGCATTGCATAGATGCAATAAACGCATAAAAACGTGTATATTTTTGGTGTAAAAGCGATTTCGGGAACTAAACAAAATGAAAGGCTGAAAATTCAAGAGTTGGTATTGTCTGTTTTGTGCGAGCTAAACATTTCAAATTTAGCTTTATCGCACGCTCACGTTACGCATACGGGCCCTCAAAATTGAGACTGAGACATAACCAATGAAATACAAACTGGTGGACCAGGCTGTGGAGAATGCTTTGACTTTAATGAACATTTGCTATTTTTGTGTAGGTCAGTCAAAGCAAAATCGGCTTTCGTGCACCCTTATATACGCATACGGGCATGACATATATAACTGCAGCAGTATGATGAAGCTTTTTGAATTTAACTTTGTGGCACGTATAGGGTTCGCGCTAAGTGCAAGTAATATACCATTTTTGAACAACATTGATTGATTTAACTCTGCAACCAGACTGCGCTAAGAGCAGCAATTTTGTGTGAATGTTGAATGCTCATATGTAAGCCTGTAAACTTAAAATGAATGATGCTTAAGCATGTGTTTCGCGCATGGACATCCTTCTTTACCAGTAATCAGACAGCCGAGAAAGCATAAATTTTGCATGTCTTGTCCTGTACAAAAACAGTGATATCTTTCACAAATGTCCATATCTCGTGTGCTGCGCGGCAAATTTGAAATGCAAAACCGCCAGCAACCTCTCTCTACGGTAGTTATGGGAAATGCGATATCGCACGGCCCCACAGTGCAGCATTACCATCGTAGCTGTTAGCTGGTGCCATTCTCCCACTGTATGCAACAAATAAACAGTACTGCTGTACAGTCTACGCGAAAAATAATGATTGCAAAGGAAAAGCTGGTGCGCATTCCTACTGATTTATTTCCAGGAAATCTAATGTTGAAGCTATGTTGCGATGATTTATCAGTCTAGTAATTTTAGGTGGACAGTATGAAAGGTGGATATTTGGCGGAAAGCAAAAGACGCACGTCGAAAAAGAGCTCAAGGCAGGAAATGAGTGCTACATCGTCAGCGACAGCTGCCGCTATCGCCAGCTCAACTAGCGAGCCCGACACATATCACTAAATTCTGCAGAAACGATTCATATTAATCTACTGCTCCAGCTGATCCTACCAACATCGAGTGAAAGGTCTCTAAATATCTGAAATCTTGCTGTCATCATTAAGTCAGCTGGCTGTTCCAAATCAGCTGCGGAAATGTCGACGACATTCGCATGCCTTTATATTTATAGAAAGCTAGCATCCTGTGCAACTTTCGTAGTCGGCTTTGTTGAATCTGACCTGGAATGAAATAAGAGTTAAGCAACTTCGAATGCTAGAAAAAGCTGATGAAGAACTTCAATTTCTGATCGAACATCTATCTTTAATTTCACAGTCCATTAAAATCTGCGCATAATGAAACCATATGGACAGGGTTATCTGATCCCAGAACACAAAGTTACCTTCCAATTGTTTGAATAAATTAATTAATAAATATTGTTAATTCTTCTGGTGAGTACTGCATGAGAATTTTTATGCGTTTTTGCCTATATGCAAATTGCAAAAACCCAC